TGGCGGACGGAGGCTGCAGGCCTCGTCCGCCGGCCTGGAGAGCGGGCGGGGGGAACCGGCAGACGGAGGCTGCAGGCCTCGTCCGCCGGCCTGGAGTGCGGGCGGGGGGGCCTACGGCTCCGTTCGCCACTGTCCTGAATGTGGCGGGTTAGTTTATGGCCAGAAGAATTGCCCTCAGAAGACGCTGGCTGCGATACTGGCTCCCTCCCCTCCCAGCCACCCAGCCAATGGCAGCCCAGGTTCACTGAGGGAGCCAGTCATCACAGCCAGCGTCTTCTGAGTGGCAATTCTTCCGGCCATACACTAACGGGGCGCATTTTAGAATTTTGGCACCCAAAACTCTTTTATTATAAGGGAGAGATACTTTTGCCATACGTGAACAACTGATCTGAATACTAAGAATAACCTTGCATTTGTTTGCAAACACTTCTTTCCCCAAACAGAACAGATGGGAAAATATAAAGGACACACTGGGGCAGCTACAAGGTGTTCTGCATCTTCGAGCCCCCGTGCTTTACCAGTACAAGATGCAGATTGGACGTACCTGTGTTCTGTGAGAACAGTTACTGCTGATGGGTGGTTGGCACAGTACACAAGATATAAATTTTTCATCTGCGGCATCAGATTTAGAAAGCAACCACCGACTCTCTGCTGAGCTTCAGGCAACCTGAAACAAAGGAACATCGATGTAACTTCTAAACTCTTCTGAGACTTAATGCATAATGTATTCCAAAATCAGCAAGGCACATGTGACCTTTACCTTGGCCGCCTCGAAGTCTAGGCATGATGGGCAAGTAGGAAAGCTGTAAAAATGGCCACTCTAAAACAATAACCCGAGGGGAGGCACAAAGCTTCGAAAGAGGTTTTATTAGAACCTTCAGTCCAACTTGTTTTCCTGGTATACTTGATATTTTGTGATGGGATGGCATTACTCTGTATATGAGCTGCTGTATTTTTTCATTGATTTACTGTGTTATTTGAGTCCTTTATATTTAACCCAGTACATTTTTTATCCTTCCCTTCCTTCAAGGTGCTCTGGGTGGCACACAACATTTTCCCTTCTGTCATTTTATCCTTGCAGCAACACTGCTAGGTAGGTTCAACGGAGAGAGAATGACTGGGCCAACAGCGCTGGAGAAATGATGGCCGCACCGGTAGGCAGGAAGAAAGAAAAGCCAGGTGCAAGGTGAAAAGATTTATTGAAGTTTTCTAGATCCCTATGCGTTTCATTGTAGGCTTTATTGAGGGATCTTCTATGGAGTTATTCAATTTCCACCTTCAGGTTTTTTCATTGCTCAAGGCGGAAACTGAAAAACTCCACAGAAGATCCCCCGACGAAGCCTAGAGCGAAATGCATAGGGATCTAGAAAACTTCAATAAATCTTTTCACCTTGCACCTGGTTTTTCTTTCTTCCTGGGCCAACATCACCCAGAGGGCTTCATGACATAGAAGGGCTTTGAACATAGGCCGCCCAGATCCTAATCCAACGCTATAATCACTACACCACACCAGCGTTTGCATTTCTGATTTCCCTGCATTACATTAGCAAAAACTATGTCTTGCAATGAGTCATCTAGTAAACATATTTATCTCTGCTGAATATAGTGGGCTTAAGAGCATGTAACTGAACTCAAAATTGAAGTCAACACCAATATTACAGCTAATAACAACCAAAATCAATGACTCCTTTCAACGTTTATTAACAAATTCTCGCTACTGTTTCCCAATGCTTGCTGTTGATCCCCCAATGATAGGCAGCTTGAAGCATGGGCAGCTCACTTCTTTTGGATCTTCTGGTTCCAAATGTAATGATTAAGAGCTAATGCCGCTATTGCTTTCACCCCCAACCAGCTATTTTTAATTGGGGGCATTGATCCAGATTGCCCACCTCATAAAAAAGGAACTGTCTCCTTTCTTCTGTCAGCTGCTAGAATAGCAGTAGCAACTAGATGGAAATTGGATAAACCTCCTGGCTTAAACCTCTGGCATAAAAAACTATGGAGTACCTACATAATGGCCAAGCTCTCTGACAATATTTACCAACTCGAACATCCTCTCTCCTCTTCTACTTTCTCGGCTGTCTGGTTTCCTGTTCTAGAATATCTCGTTTCACAAGAAACCATCCCTAATAAAATTAATGACCTTTCCTTATGGTAACGTTTTTTACTGTTAACTTATGTTGTTTAGTGGCATGGAATATCTTGGTTAATCACTATTAGGTTCTATATAAGCTATAGGTAAATTTTCTTATGAAGGTTTCAATTTTACAATAACCTATACTAGCTAACATTTGAATTTTATTGTGCTTTATATTTGAGTTATGATAATATTGAACAGTATATATGTACTCTGTATATGATTGTGAAGCTGCAATAAAATGTGGAAGGAAGGAAGGAAGGAAGGAAGGAAGGAAGGAAGGGAGGGAGGGAGGGAGGAAGGAAGGAAGGAAGGAAGGAAGGAAATGCTGGTTTCATGAGCAGGCTGCGAGTGTATCCGCACCCGCACCCCCACCCACCACCACTTTCCCTGCACTCAAACCCCTCTATGGCTCTTGATTCTGAACCCAAGTGCTTGCATTCTGCTCAGGCAAAATGAAGGCAGATGGTTTGTGCAGGAGAAGGAAGAGACAACATCACCTCCCACCCGCCTAAACCTAACTGATGGCCAGAGTTATACTGTACATTCACCAACCATACAATTTTAACCCTATTTCAGCAATACATAAAAGACTATGAGAACAAAATAGAAAAAGAACACATATTCCTGTTACAATTCATGTAGTGTCATCTGTTTTAATACCCTTCAACATATTACATAAAACTATTAGTGTGTTCACACAGTCAAATCCAGTAAGCCTTACAGTATTTTTGCATTAATGTTTCTGGAGTTGATACTCCAACCATATGTTTCCTTTCATTTATATAATTTTTTCCCAATAAAAATTAATACCATACTTAAACCAAGCATCAGTGAATAAAGTACAAATTCCTTCAGATAAATCAGGGTCACTCTAGACAATTCCATGTATTGTTTAGTTAGTCTTGCAGTACTTACTTGGTGCATTCTTCTAAAGACTGCACAAGCATTTGCTGAAAGGAACTGATTTCTTCTAGGTTTCCCATTAAATATGAAGTATCTGTAGAATTTAACCTGAAGCCAAGAAAAATTAGGAAGTTAAGAATAAACACTCGTACAAAACCAAAATAATCTGTAATATTTCTTAAAGCCAGGAACTTGTTTCTTATGTGAGAGGTAAAGAAATCTTCCCTCTTTTGTGCTCTGTTTATCCCTTTCACCTTCAGTTCATACACGTTTAGGACCAGCTCGCTTTCTTTAACCGAACACGAACAGGTTCTCACAGCATTTACCAAAGCAGGGTTAGATACCTTACAATTGGTGATGGTAAGAGGCTGTTACAGTGTGATCCCATATAAAGAAAGTGATCAGAACTTGCGATCAGATTTCTATTAAGGATCTATTACTGCCCAAGATTTGCATTAGAATGTGAAAGATACCTTAGGAATATTTTATTAAAATATCCAGAGAGCATGGATAAAGATAAACTATATTACTTGCTGACAAAAGTAAATGGATAACGATGCAAACGGCAAAGTTCGTTGCATGGGTGATAAAGGCCTTACCAAACCATCCACTGTTAACGCGGCTGATGGATAAACCTATTTATTTTGTTGACTATCTGACTGAATTGCGTGAATTGTTCATTTTAACTCATATTTTCGTTGTGACCTTAACAATTGCTTATAAAATTGTAATGTATATTAGAGCTTTTATTGTTATTGTGATTGTCGCATTATAACTCTGTTGGTATTTTTAGTGTTAAATCCTATGGCTGTGAGCTAATGCAATGAAGCTCATGATTGTAAGGGACTCTCTTTCACTTGCAAGCCCCTTAAAAAAGTCACTGGTGGCAGCGTCATAGAAGTTCAGACACATCTTGGAATTGCTTAAGTAGGCCATCAGGACCAATTTTAATGTTACAGCCCCTCCTCTAGCTTCCACTGAGTAGGTATAACATTTACCATGTGTTATACCCAGGTGGGCAGCCATGTTGGTCAAAACATCTTCATTAAGTTGTATGCTTATTTGCTGTTCCCCTTGTAGAGGCATCTGCCTATACATATGAACTGTTAACCTCCATTTCAATGTATCTGAGGAAGTGTGCATGCATATGAAAGCTAATACCTTGAATAAACTTTTGTTGGTCCCAAAGGTGCCACTGGACTCAAAATTTGATTTACCATGTGTTGTCGCTCCTGCAATGCTGCAAATGAGCCAACAGACAGGACAAGGTCCTTTAACGATTATGCCTGCTGGAATGCTGCCAAAAACGTACTGCACTTCTGAATATATGAAGCTGCCTTATTCCAAGTCAGACTATTAGTATTGACAGTGAATGGCAGCATCTCCTCTGTGGTCCCAGGAAGAGGAAGGTCTTCTCTGGCACCTTCTGCTCGAGATGTTTTAGATGCAGACGCCAAAGACTTACTTCTCACTGGCTTGTAAAGGCCTCAGGTAGTTAGAAAGCATGGTCTGTAGTTCTTTAGCGTATTCATTTTCTGTTTCTAAAATATTTTGTAGCACCTGTAACACACGAAAACTTGGTTTTAAAGCTCAAAAGCAAAAAAAGACGCCAAACACAACTGGACTCTGAAACATTTCTTTACCTCTCAAAAGAGTCTAGATGCAAGCTGGATAGGAAATGGGAAACACCAAACCATTCTGTAGGACGTTACAATTAAGGAACTTAAAATTAAGTCAGAGTAAGTAATGTGATGAAGTTGTGAGAAATGGTTTAAAAAATGGTATTGTACAAAGGTCTTTCTTAAAGTGCCTTGATTAGCACTAGCTAATCATGTTGGCAAATATACAAGTCAAAAGTATGAGGCAGTACCATACTATACCAGTTTCCTCCACACATGCCTTGGTATAATTATGCCAGTGTGTACAGAACAGCATGGCACAGGAGAGGCAGGCAGAAGCATGGGACTGATTCAATGTGCCACAGCCAGGCCAAAGAGATTTATTTATTTATTTATCACATTTGTACCCCGCCCTCCACGCAATGCAGGCTCAGGGCGGCTCACAGTCAGTACATAAAATACAGATTTCTGCTGTATCCAGACACACTACAAACCCCTGCTGCATAGACCATTTGTACCCCCTGGGTCACCAATGGTAGGGCCCAGTGATTTAAAGAATCATATGAATTCTCGGTACATGTAACGCTACTTCTTCTAATGTACACAGATATAAATGCACACACAAAAGCACACAAATCCAAGTTCAAATGACTCATCGAGTTCCTTCCAGCTTTCTGGGGATTTTTACATAACACAAAGCATAGGGACTGGTTCACACACTCCTCAATTTCCCACCACCAGATTGTTCCAGCTGAACGTGTCAGCTGACTCCACCCGAAGCAACGAAAGTTCTATTTGCGGTCTTTGATTTGCAATACAAGTCACCACTTGATGCTGTGTCATTGCTTCCTGGAAGTCATCACTGCCTAACATCAAGGGTGTGAAAGTGGTATCAGCTTTCTCGCTTTCAAATAAACCCTCCGCACACAGTAGATATGAAGGACAGACTACTGCTGCAGAGGGCTTCCACCCAATCATGCAGCACTGGCAAAAAAAAAAAGAATCCAGTGTTCTGGGCCATGGGATTCTTTAAACTGTCTGCTGTCTGCTGATCTGCAGACCCTCTTATGTCCTGTCGGCTGGTGTACCAGTTACCTGGGCAGAGACGCCACCTCAGGTTAGAACCATGAAAGTTAATGCCTAGATGAAGGGGCTGAGGGAGAGGCATACCAGCAATCCATAAGCAGCAAAACACATGCTGCTGCAGAGAAGAACCAGTGCTGAACATCACTTTCTCCATGAGATACGTAATTTTATAAACTTCTTTCCAGCCCTTCAACTTAGTCATTCTTGTACCCTAAATTAAAAAGTCACAAGCACGATAGCCTTTTCTCAGCGGGATGGTATTTTCTGGCTGTCCTTTTCTTTGTGTCCTCCAGTTCCACAAAATACTTTTGGACTTGGGTCAAACAGACTCACGCACAGTTGTGCCACAAAGGCATGAGGAGGAGGAGGAGGAGGAGGAGGAGGGGAAGAGGAAGCGATTGGATTTATACCCCGCCCTTCACTATCCAAAGGTGTCTCAGAGCAGCTTACAAACTCCTTTCCCTTCCCCTCCCCTAGGAGGAGGAGGAGGAGGAGGAGGAGGAGGAGGAGGAGGGTTTTTCCAGTCTGCTGCCCAAAATTTCCTTCATGGATAGTCAGAATTAATTCAGACCCAATAAGAGTACTTAAGGTATTTGACTATTCCCTCCTACCATACACAGATTTCCATCTACTTGCGTTTAAATTAGATTTCTGATTTTGTTACCCATTCATCCTCTGGAGACATCCTTTGGGGGTCTGTGAGGTCTTCACAGGATTTCACCACACATAAGTTGATGTCAAGGCAAACTTGACTACCTCCGTAGTCATCATAGCACTAATTCTATAGGGCTTACAAACTGCAGTGAACATAATATAGATCCTTAGGGGGACCCTACTTCCCTCCACTGGAAGAATAACTCATTTCTTCCTCCCCATTAGGAACTGATCCACAAGAGGACTCGTCTCTTATTCCACAATTACTAAACTGACTTGGGAAACTTCTCAAAAAACATATATATTTTTTGGAAATCCAAGTGTGTAAAATCAATGGGGCTCAGCTACTATCTAAATACGTGCTGACACTCTCAAAGGTCCTCATGAAGGTTGGCAAGGCAAGACTTGCCTTTGCAAAGACTATGCTAACTCATCTTTGGCAAGTCTTGTTCTTTAAATGTTTGTTTAAAAATGTTTAGCTTTAAAAAAAACTTCTACCAATTTAACAGATTAGGTCTAAGATTTCTCAAACTCCCACTGGATTCCTTTTAAAAATTACATGTTACATTGGCTAGTCTCCAATCCTGTGGTAAAAAGTTCAATTTCCAGACCAACTTGCATATTTCTGTTATTAAATGAGCAATCTCACTTTTAAGGGCTATTTAGTGACCGCCCTGGGTTTGTGAATTACCTGTGAAATGGTATCCTTTGTTGCCTCTCTTGGGCATACGTCCTCTGATGCCACCCCTGAGAACCAGCATTCAGACACAGGAAATTTCCAGGATTTCCCACCGTAAAGTCCTCTTTGTAGCTTCCCTGCCCTCCTTCAGCACTCTTTCAAACCTCTGTCACATAAAGATTTCTATGGCCCCGGTCACACGGCAAAGTTGCCATGGGAGAGGCACGGATGGTGGGCGGATTATCCAGGCGCGATCACACCCCGACCGACATCTGGGAAGTGGAGCGCACCCATGGCTTACCGCCGACAATGTGCCCTAAAAAACTAGTACCTCCAAGGTACTAGTAAACGTTTGCCACGGGCTGCCTCCAAACGCCCGTGGTGTGATCGCACTGGCGCGCGGCATTCCCCTCCGGTCCCTCGTTTACCCACCAGCGCGTCTGATCTTGTAATAGCGCATCAAACTGCGCCGGGGCAATTAGCCACGCCCCCCCCCGCGATATCCAGCCTGTGTGACCGGGGCCTATATTGCCTTATCTTCACAAAGTTTAGAAAAGAGCTACTTTGGCAAAGAACAAGTCCAGCCACCCATACAACAAAATGCCGGGGAACAGGGATTTCCCCATTGCACAGCAGAAACTTTATTAGCTACAGTTATGCTTGCAGAAAACTGTATGTTTTTACAAGTTTATGCACAGGGCTTTTACTCCTTTCAAAACAGAAGTCTTAGTTGCTTTAAGAACTCTAGTACGAATGCAATTTCACTCCAAGCATTGGTAGTTTTTTTTGGAGATACTAAACTGGCTACATGCAGTTCATAGTGTGTTTGGGATAGGCAAGTTATTCATGTCTATATGAAAACTTGATGAAACAAGTGGTATGCTGAACTATTAAAAATGGGAGAATTCACTGCTTCTTTCATTAGCATTGCTGAACTCCTGTTTATTCCCTTGAATGGGCCTATTCAATTGCAGAGGGGAGGAAAGGGAGACTATTTCTGAGTTCATTCTTTTGTTGGTAACTTGACTCCTGCCCCAAAGATTAAAATGTCTCCATTCTACAAAAAGCTCTAGGAAGGACAACATGTCACAATGCAACCAAGCTAATAATTAGCCAGTTACAAAGAACAATACTGCACAAGCATACCCATATGCAGAAAAATTAACAAATCTTACCTTGCAAAGTAAAGATGATGAAACATCAGTCGACTACTACAAGCAGACGGTCTACATACAAGAAAACAACCAATTGCTGTGTGCTGCAATATGAAGCCAAATATGGGGGCAGGGGGCTTGTAAAGAAGGTAAGAGGACAAAAACAGGGACCCCAGACAGTATCTCTTTGTAAGACATGTAGGTATTAGGCTTATCACACTGGCAGAACTACACAGGAAGTGTCCATTGGGGTTGCGTCATTTCAAAACAAGCCATCAAGAGTCATTTTCATGTTCCAAATGCGGGGGGGGGGGGGGGGAGGGGGGGGACCCTGACAACTATATTGTCTCACGTAACACCTAGAAGAAAGACCTTTCGCTGGAATAACCCTACATAAAAATAAGACCGTCAAAACTAAGAACACATTTGTATTCAACACTTACTAAAAAAGAAACAAACATTGTATAAACCTAAACAATTTTATACAAACATTGTATAAACGTAAACAATTTTATACCATTTTAAAATGGCCATCGGCTTTTATTTATTTACTTGTTTGTTTGTTATGCTACAGTTTGGGCTTGCTGCAAACTAAGCCCCTAGGATTCAAACTCTGACTATCTGACACTTCTTACATATATATTCACTTGTTGCAGAACAGGCTATTCTGAACTTAAAGATTTACATACACTGATTGTACTTAGAAGGTTTTAAACTGCCGTAATTCTTGCATTTCCACTGTCTTCAGATATGCTGCAAGATAAACATGCCATGCAGAGATGCAGGGAAGGCTGTGAAGACCGCATCATGCTTATAAAAAAAAAAATACAGTAACACAGAGATTACAGAAAAATACAGTAACTGCTGCGTTTTCAGACTGCAATGCTTCACAATTCCTAACCTCATCATCCTGCTTTTCCGCTCTAATAATCACCTTTCTCCTCTTCCCTGCTCTCTGCATGTTCTGGCTGCTGCATGAACCCAAGAGGTGTCAAAGGGCTTATTCCAAACCTCCGTCACATTTGACAGAACTAGGCACCAAATGCGGTTTACAGTACGCAGCACAAGGGAGAAGTATAAAGCGCTGAATTCATCCACTAAGAACCAACCCTCCGTCACAAGGAATGGGGGGGGGGGGGGAAACGGGATGACAAGGATATCTAACCGCTCACTCACAAAACACCCAGTTATCTCCCTAAAGCAAAAGCTCTGACTACAGGCCAATTTTTAAAAATGACCCACCTAATGGGAATCTTATGATGTCAGGTGAAAGGAAAAACCAACCGTGATCTCACCCATTTTTTAAAAAATAATCATACGGAGGGAGGGGGATGTGTGATTTTCCCATAAGATGCACAGTGTCTATTTTGTCACAACTGTCCACTTGTTCAGAAGCTACTCTTTTAAAATCATGACAAGAGATTTTTCTATTTTTGTGTTTTTTGTGTAACAGCAACAACAGTACGACAAACAAGCAACAAAATCAAAAAAAGAACTCGGGCTGTGATCCAAAGGCATCTTGCATTAGTCAAAGGCATTTCTGCTCATGAAAAGGGGAGGGGGTTTCCATACATTTCCCCTTCCAGCTGCAGCTCCTCCCCCTAGCAACATCCCTCACCACTCCATAATGTCACCCAACTGCCAGGAGTGATTTTCGGATGGAAACAGAGTTATAGAGCAGTAAGGAAGAGTCATGACAGTCACCCCATCCTATGACCACACAGCCACTCAGCACTGAAAAGCTGTCTTTGAGGCCCTGACCTGGATAGCCCAGGCAAGCCCAATCTCGGAAACTAAGCAGGGTCGACTCTGGCAAGTGCTTGGATGGGAGACCTCCTTGGAATATCAGAGCCAGGAGGCAGGGGCAGGCTTTATTCAGCCACTTCTCTGAATATCCTCCATCCCCCCCCCCCAGTAAGGGTCAGTCACCAGAGGTTGCCATGACTTCCAGGTACACACACATAAAAAAGCAAAAATAAGAAAAAGAAAAAAAAGCTGTGTCTGAGTGTCTGGATTGGGTAGCTCAGTTTGGTTCCTCTTCCTCCAGCCCTGGTACTTTGGAAAACCCTGCCCGAGTAACCCTGTAAGTTCTGGTGTGTTTGTTACCCCCACACACACACACACATGTTGGGTTTTGAAAGTGTGTACAGCCATGGCCGATCAGCCCTGTCCCTGAGCAAAGTTCCCTGCTGATATTACCCCTTGGAGCCATAGAGACCTCAAGACCACTCCTGCCCTTGGCTTTAACATACCTCAGGAAACAGGCCCCTGGAGCCAAGCCGCAACACGCCAATTATATTTAACATTTTTAAAATGTAATGGGCAAAGGTAAACAGTGATGAGATACAATTCAGACTTCGCATTTGAGGGCTCAAGATATGAACACCGATCCAGAACAGTTGCAAGTAAACACAGGTACTTCATTCCTTACAGGAGTTCTTTACCATGAGCCCGTTTATACTCAAACCTTCAGCAATCTGTAAGCTAAACTACTGAGATAAACAACTTAAGAAGTTCCAAAACAAAAAAAGCAAAAAAAGAGACGGTAAAACCCCAAGAACCATAAAGGAGGATTTCTTTGAAAGACATTCTGCTCAGATTCACATGGAATTCACACTGAAATGCCTTGCAAAGCCTTGAGGTCCACAGCCCTCCGCTTTTTCCAAGGACCAAAATGCCAGGTGATTGTGGCACGAGCAGCTTTTTTATAATTTAAGCCCTGATCCATAGTCTGAACTGTATTTCATCATGGAAGAGGAAAACAATGTATACTGCCCTAAGAACCTTGGAGGGGGGCCTCGGGAGAACAAAATACTAGGTAGATGTCTTTTTGAGACTTCAACACATGTTTCCCTAGTGGCTCAATCAACCTGCTTCTTGATTCATTCGGGATAACCCCCTTTTTATTTGGGCCTATACTTCTACCCCTACCCGTGTGAAGAAAAACTTGCCAAAAGACTCTCAAACACAAGCCTGAAGCCCAGATCATATATTTGAGAGAAGCGATGTTGACCTTCCACAGTGGTGAAAGTGAGCTCACCCACTGTCTGCTTTCCATGGTGATTACGCTGAAAGCAAAACAAGGGGTCCGGTGTGTGCGTATGCACATGGGGGAGGCACCACACAATGGGCTTCTGTGAGAAGGCAATTGTAGAGAGTGTCGACTTTTCATTTAGCACGATCGCCTTGGCCTAAGTGGAAAGGAAGAGCTTAAGACTGTACTGCTCCTTCTATATATATATCAGCCAGGAAGTGACATGTGGAAGTGGGAAACCTCCCAAAAGCTATCTAGGCCTCAGCAGCTAAGTCAGATCTACCTCTGACCGTTCACATACAATGAAGGCCTAACAAATATTCATCCCCCCCTTGTGGCCTAAGGCCATGAACAGGAATGTCTAACCAGCCTTCAAACACATAAACATTCAGATAGAACCACAGAGTTGGAAGGAGCCATACAGGCCATCTAGTCCAACCCCCTGCTCAAAGTAGGATCAGCCTAGAGCATCCCTGGCAAGTGTTTGTCCAGCCGCTGCTTAAAGACTGCCAGTGAGGGAGAGCTCACCACCTCCCTAGGCAGCTGATTCCATCGATGAACAACTCTTACTGTAAAAAAGTTTTCCCCAATATCCAGCTGGTACCTTTCCGCCCTTAATTTAAATCCATTATTGTGAGTCATGGCCTCTGCTGCCAACAGGAACAGCTCCCTGCCCTCCTCTAAGTGACAGTCCTTCCAATACTTAAAGAGAGCAATCATGTCCCCCCTCAACCTCCTCTTTTCCAGACTGAACATTCCCAAGTCCCTCAGCCTTTCCTCATAGGGCTTGGTCTCCAGGCCCCTGATCATCTTCGTCGCTCTCCTCTGCACCCGCTCCATTCTGTCCACATCCTTTTTCAAGTGAGGCCTCCAGAACTGCACACAATACTCCAGGTGCAGCCTGTCCAATGCAGTGTACAGCAGGACTATGACATCTTGCGATTTGGCTCTTATGTCTCCATTGATATACCCCAAGATCGTATTAGCCTTTTTTGTCACTGCATCACACTGGCTGCTCATATTTCACTTGCAGTCCACCCATACCCCAAGAACCTGTTCACAGACGCTGCTACCCAGAAGTAAATCCCCCATCCAATATGCATGTTCCTCATTTTTGTTACCCAGCACTTATCCTTGTTAATTTGCATCTTGTTCACATCCACCCACTTTTAACCAACAACCTCAAGGTCCTATTAGCAGGCATCCTGTGAGAAAGACCTTTCAAAATCTGTACTAAACTGGTGCGCTATTCCAAGCTAATTTCCCCAGCTCCCACTGCTACAATACACAAGATTTTGGATTGCAGAAAACGTCCAGCACAAAGGATCAATCCAACAAATCCAAACATTTCCTCAGCTTTGAAGAATTTGCAATAAAAAGAAAAGAAAAGCTCAGCAGAACTGGCCCTCAATACTGAACCTAAGGGCAAGTCAGAACCAAAGCCAAGATACAATGAGACCAAATATCCATCCTACTGCAATAACTTTCACATATCAGTGCATCCACATACCTATGCGGCTAATCCATCTCATACCAACTACAGCATGCTACAAGCCAGGTAAGTAAAGCACACTGCATGTGAAATGCACACAGGTGAGAAACAGAAGTGGCACCTGGTGTCACTGGAAGGCTATATGCAGCTTGGCAAATTATTAGTTGTGCATGCCTGGTTTAAGGTCATATGTTAAGATCATAGGTATATGACTACACATTGCAAAAATAATTACTCCATTTTTTGGTAACACAAATTCTTGGAAGAACATAAATGGATGTCTGAGTCAGAGAAAAGATCACTCACCACATTGTAATAGCTTTTGCTAATAGCAGATGTATCAAATCCTTTTGGAGGACTCTTCAGCGTTCCTGATTTGGGGGAGACGGGTTTTTCTGAAATACAAAATGTTGCAGCAATAGGATGCAGTTCCACAGTTCAGACACTAGAGGTCAAACAAACTGCTCTTCTTAAAGCAGTGATGACAGGATTCAGGCTACTTACGGTACTTAGGCATGCGACAATTTAAATATGTACACATATAAGCTCTGTCAAATCTACCAGCAAAGATGATTTTTTTAATTGCATTTGTAAAAGAAACACATTATACCACATTTCATATGAGAGAATATATTTACCCAAGAGTTGTACTACTTCCAAATACCATTCACAGAATACATTGCACAGAAAAGCAAAAAAAGTGGTATGAATTTTGACTGTTTTGTATTACAATTTGTTGATAGGATTTTTTAAAAAACAAATGAACGAAAGGAGTGCAAAGACAGTCATTCAGTGTTTATTACAGAACTGCAAAATACCATAACAGTTTCTTTGTTGAAAATGTTTCTAAAATTGCACTAAAAGATTCACAGACTGCCATTTTTACAAGAACCTCCCCCCCACAGACACAGAATTGAAATAAATTTAAACTGTACATTTGTTATACATATCTCATTCTGAACACTGTGAGGGTTGTTACAGCCACCACAGGTGACTGTCTTTATCAGACCTCAAAGGCAAACCCTAGGAGCCTTAGCAGTCCATTGTAATCCCTTGTTATTCTCCACAGAGATTCCAGACTCATCTTCAGGGATAAGAACCTGAGGGTTTTAAGCAGGCTGCAGAATTCTGATGGGTGATATCAGAAGTGCCAATGCTTAAACCTGCTTGGTTTAAAAGTCTCTCTAATCTCAGTATATCTAGATTGTGCCTTACTAAATTTAGGGGGTCCCTAGAAGGCACTGTGGCTCTCTAGCTGCATAATGCCTGTCTGAATCTTCTGTCAAAGAAAAGATAACTTATCAAAGTTTCAGGAACAACTTCTGTTTTTAAATGTCTAATAGAAGAAGAACTAATGGCTTAGTGTCAAACACTTGTACCTCGGGTTGCCAGGTCCTTCCTAGTCCCCCATGGGGGACTTTGAGGGGGCATTTCTGGAGGGGAATGGGACGTCCCCAATGTGATGATGTCACCACTCATAAGTGACATCATCACGCTTAGGAATCAGCACCCAAACAGCAAATTCGCTGCTTGGAGTTCGGGTGTCCCCCCCCCCCCGCCAACGGGGACCCTTTAAATGCTTTTGGCAAGAAGCAGGAGCCGTGTGGGCCCGCAGTCCAAAAAGTGAATTCAGCACATGGAATTCAAGCATCTTCCCCCACACACCCCGCTTCTTGCCAAAAGTATTTAAAGGGTGCAGGCATGAAGCCGCCCCCTCCCTCCCCTCTTGGAAGATTTAAAGGGCCCTCCAGCAAGAGGGGAGGGAAAGGGGTGGCTGCCGTTGGGGGTGAGGCTTGGGGCTGGGCTTCCCCTGGCCGGTGGCAGGCAGGAGCCCGCCAAATCGGGGGATTCCCTGCCCCCCTTTGGGGACTGGCATCCCTACTTGCACCCCTTACACACATACACTGTTCCACATCAAGAAATACAGAGATGTCAGATCTCAGAAGCTAAGCAGCACTGACCCTGGCAAGTATTTGAATGGGAGACCTCAAAGGAATACCAGGCCCGGGATGCAGAGGTAGGCAATAGCAAGCCACCTCTCTGAAACATCCAAGCCCCACTAGGGGTTGCCAGAAGTCAACCATGACTTCCAGGCATGCACACACTCACACAAAAAGATACAGTAATTATGTACCTGTGTAAATGGCCGAAATTTGCAAAATTAAAAGTGAAATTCTGGGGAATATTGTAAAAATTGGAATACTTTCTCTTTTAGGAGGAATTAAACGTACAAGGTGTTCAAAATGCTTCCTAAAAACTATGTAGTGTTAATATTGCCAAGTAACACTACAAATCTACAAGAACAGAAGCCATGTAAAAATACCTTTTATTAAGACCAACCAAAAGAAAACACAACTCATTGTACAAGCTTTCAAGTTCTTCAGAACTCTTTCAGGGTAGATGTTCAAATGGAAGGCAGAGAGCAGAACTCAAGGCCATGGTTGTGAAACCTCTCTCTCTCTCTGCAGCCTATGCAAAATGCATTATTGATTACCAATGGAACAGTGGGTGGCTAGTTGCTATTAAGCTGTGCCCTCAGCTTACTGTGACGAAGTAGCAAAATGGATTCCATTCAGATTAAAATATAAAAACAGATGGGTTTATCTGTTTTGGGATATTGCTATGGACCAACATAGCTACTATTTTTATTTATTTATTGTATGGCAGAGTTACATACAGAAGCATATAATTATAGATACAGCCACAAAATTAGAGAATGTTAATTCCAAAATATACTGTAGGCACAGGCAGCATATTTTCATGTGACTAATTTTCTCCACAATTAATGACACAAAGCATATGACGACACCAGCTGAGTTAGTGTGAGCTAGCTCACAGTTTTTTAGCCTCCGGCTCACTTATTTTTGTCTTTGCTCAGGAAGGATGGCTCCAGAGCAAACTAATTTATGCAGTAGCCAAATCGCTGGCTCACAACTTTAATGCCAGTAGCTCACAAAGTAGAATTTTTGTTCACAAGACTCCACAGCTTAGAGGGATCATTGGATGACACCAGACTAAGAAATCAGGCTACCCATGGCGGGCAATCTTCCACTCCAATCTGCTCTCGGGCAAGTTAATGTTGAGAGAAAATGGGGGAGGGAGGGAAATGACGATGTCACTTCTGCTTGCTGCATCCATGGTTCTCTAGGAATTTCCCCCCGTCTCTATGGTCTTTCCCATACAGGTTGAGGGGATTCCTAGAGTATTGCTAACAGGGCAATGCCATTTCCAGGTAATCACCCAGAAGCATCATTGCCATGTCAGCAACGCTCCCCCTTCCCATGATCCACCTGCAAAAGCTCCCAGAGGTTGCCAGCACAGAGATGGCAGCCTACTACTGAAAAGGTCAGCACTGTCAATGCAGTTAAGTTTAACTCAATATCCAAATATGGTGATAGCCAGATACTAATGACCACTTCCAAATTAATCATGATTTCTATTGCCAGACCTCTAGAGGAACAGTTTTGCCACTGCGTGAGACAGGATGTTGGACTAGATGGACCACTGGTCTGATCCAGCAAGGCTCTTATGTTCTCATTTTCAATTTTTATTTTTCCCCCCTGCTTCTCAGATGGCAAAACTGCAGTATGTTCTCTCCAGTACTGGGCATACTGCGAATCTTGTTTGAATAAAACTAAGGCACTTACATGCACCAAATTATACAAACTGATATCTTAACAAAACTAGAAATTATGCATTTGATATCCTTAAAGCATTTAGGTTTGATAAGAAAATATTGCATCTATATCGGTTACTCAATGGGAATGAAAAGCATCTTACATCATTCTCATCCATTTTACCTTCACAACCATCCTGTGAGGTAGCACTAGAAAAGAGCAAAAGTCCAGCAGCACCTTAAAGACTAACTAAATTTAACATAAGAACATAAGAACATAAGAGACGCCAATGTTGGATCAGGCCAAAGGCCCATCCAGTCCAACACTCTGTGTCACACAGTGGCCAGAAATACCAGTGCCATCAGGAGGTCCACCAGTGGGGTGGCAGTGAATTCCATGTGTTAATCACTCTTTGGGTGAAGAAGTACTTCCTTTTATCCGTTCTAACCCGACCGCTCTGCAGTTTCATGGAGTGCCCACGAGTTCTTGTATTGTGAGAAAGGGAGAAAAGTACCTCTTTCTTTACCTGCTCTTTCCCATGCATAATCTTATAAACCTCGATCATGTCACCCCTCAGTCGTCTTTTCTCCAAGCTAAAGAGCCCTAAGCGCTTTAACCTTTCCTCATAGGGAAAGTGTTCCAACCCTTTTATCATTCGAGTTGCCCTTTTCTGCACTTTTTCCAAAGCTATAATATCCTTTTTAAGGTGTGGTGCCCAGAACTGCACACAGTATTCCAAATGAGGTCTCACCATTGATTTATATAGGGGCATTATTATATTGGCTGATCTGTTTTCAATACCCTTCCTAATAATCCCCAGCATAGCATTGGCCTTCTTTATTGCAGTCACACACTGTCTCGACATTTTCAGTGAGTTATCCACTACAACTCCAAGATCTCTCTCTTGCTCAGTCTCTGCCAGTTCAGACCCCATCAATGTGTATTTATATTTAGGATTTTTGGCTCCAATGTGCATCACCTTGCACTTGGCCACATTGAACCCCATTTGCCATGTTGACGCCCACTCGCCCATCCTTGACAGATCCCCTTGGAGTGCCTCACAATCCTCACTGGTTTTCACCACCCTGAACAACTTTGTATCATCCGCAAATTTAGCCACTTCACTGCTTACTCCCATCTCCAAATCATTAATGAACAAGTTAAAAAGCAGTGGACCAAGTACTGATCCCTGCGGTACCCCACTGCTTACCACCCTCCACTGAGAAAATTTCCCACCTACACTCACTCTCTGTTTTCTATGAACTAGCCAGTTTTTGATCCATAAAAGGACTTGTCCTTCTATCCCATGATTTTTGAGCTTACTTAGGAGCCTTTGATGAGGAACTTTATCAAAAGCTTTCTGGAAGTCAAGGTAAATAATATCTATTGGATCCCCCTTGTCCACATGTTTGTTCACCCCCTCAAAGAACACTAACAGGTTAGTGAGACAAGATCTTCCCTTACAGAAACCGTGCTGAGTCTGCCTCAATAGTCTGTCGCAGGGTATGAGCTGTCATGGGTCATTGCTCATTTCTTCAGAAAGCTCATACCCAGAATCAAATTTTGTTAGTCTTTAAGGTGCTACTGGACTCTTGCTCTTTTCTGCTGCTACAGACAGACTAACATGGCTACCTATCTTGATCTACCTGTGAAGTAGGTTAGGCTGAGGATGTGTGACTGTCCCAAGGTCATCCACTGAGCTTCCATTGCACAGTCAGAAGTCTCCCAGATCCTAGTCTAAATCTCTAACCCCTACACCATACTGGCTTTTGTCAGGTAGCTGCTCTTGAACAGTAACAACCACACTGGCCTGGGTGAGTCATGCAAGTCAGGTAGTAGCAAGTCGCCCAATGGTTGCTGCCAGGCCTGGCCCCAACAAGTCTTCCCTCAGAGGCCAAAACAGCCCTGGAAGGGACCCTGCCCCTCTCCCCCCAACCTTTTCTGAGAAAAGTCAGAGCATGAAGGTTTGCATTACTACTGCGGTTGCCTAACAACAGCCACTGAGGGCATTCATTTCTTAAAGCTACAGGTGCTCCTTTATCATTTTGGGGGGCTTTAATCCCCCAATGTATTTTTTTTTTAAGATTTCAGATTTTTCTACAATCCCGGACTTTTCTCGGTTTTGTGGACAGATTTGTCTTGTCTGTCCATGGCCCCAGTCTCCTGATTTAAGTAATCACAGATGGCACCACACTGCCAGTTGGATACACTGATACAGGAATTCAAAAACAACTTAAGACCAGACAGGATCTTGAAACTCACCATTTGATTTTACTTCTCTTACATAATTGCTGGGAAACCAACCCGTCTTGCCATTGTGAGTTCCTTCCCACCAGCCCCCTTCTTCCACTCTTGTTACATGAATAATATCTCCTTTTGTAAAGGAAAGCTCATCTTCATTGGTCTGTTGAAAATTAAATTTTGCTCGCACTACCAGCTGATGGTTGCTGTTATCGGTCATGTCCTAGAATTGAGGGAGCAAAGAACAAAATTTCAGGCATGTTCCAAAATACAATACAAATTTAAAATCTAAGTAAATGAAATATCTCCTGACCCTGACAACTGAAGAACATTTCACAAGTTACTGCAAAAAGATAGTTAACCAATTGTAGAAATGCAGAGAACCAATTGTAGAAATACAGAGACCTATATCTTTTCTGTAGCAACTAAACAGCATTTGTGAGTCTCAGAACAACCGACAGAAAATGCTTCAGGCATATTGTTATTGAAAATATTTAAATCCTTCTCATCTCTTTTAGAATTAAGGCGGCTAACAAAGCAACAAAAGTTCCAAGAACAAACAATAAAAAGCAATACACGAGTTAAAAACACCAGCCTAATCTGGCAAAATAGATCACCCTCCACCACATAGGCTTCCCAAGTCCCCCCGGGGTGCAGGGAAACCCCCGCCCCAGAGGCCCGTTCCCCACCGCCAGCGGATCGGGCCCTGGGGGGAACCCCACCCCAACGTGCGCGTCACCCGGAAGTGACGCAACCACGCCGGGCATGCTGGGGGCGGGGCCACGGTCATCCGAGGGAAAACTCTATGGTCTTCCCTCGGATGGTCGTGGCCCCGCCCCCAGCGTGCCCGGCGTCGTCACGTCACTTCTGGGTGACGTGCGTGCGGCGCGCACGCACTTCGCGCGCACGTTCCAGCCGCAGCATGGGAGTCCCCCGGTAAGGAGAAATTTCGAAATTTTGACCCTACCACCACACCGTCTGAAATAAAACTGTCTTACAGGCCTTCCTAAATGCAGCAAGTGAAGGAGCCCTCTGCCCTTGCTTTAGTAGGCCATTTCTTTGTAAGCTTGTGTTGGCTAAAGCCAAGTAGCCAAGAGAAACTCCTGAATATGGGGTTAAGAGGAAAGAGTACAGAATGGCCTTAAAATGTAGTTGCTTGAGCCCTGCTCGGCTTCAGAACACCGATGCCAATCTGTTGAGCAACTAATTTCTTTACTAAGCACTGGAGAGCTATTGTTCTGCAGGATCCAGCATTACTGGATGCTAGAGGATTCCTGGAGCACAACAGCATCACCTCTGCAACAGATACTGAGACTATCTACAAACGGTTTTACCTTTTATAAGGTTCACTGGAGGGAAGCAGCACGATGAGCGGTTTTGGGACTTCTCACATAGGGCTATAGTTGATCCATTTGTTATTTCCTTTCCCATAGAAAACCATGTTCAAGGATACACAGACAGCAATTCTAAGCTGGTCTACTCAGAACCCTACTCAGTTCTATTCAGTGGGGCTTACTCTCAGGAAAGTGTTCTTAGGATTGCACTTATAACGCTAACTCACATAAAATCCAACGAGAACACAAGACAGCATCAACAAAGAGTCTCAAAGGCCTCTGTTACTGATCATCACCTTCTCGCCTATCAAGTATCCGTTAACGTGAGTCAAGCTTCTCACTTTGCACCACTCATTAAGGAGAGTGAACAACATTTTTAATGAAAGACAGAGAAAGAAAAAGAAATGGGTCAGTACTTACCAGACTTCGATACTGGCCCTGAAAAAGTTTTGAAGTTCTGCTATGTAAAGACTGTGATCCCAAGGAATCGAATGACTTTATCCGGTGAGACGATGGTCTTGCACACACAGAGTCACTTCCTAGCCCAATGTCTGGAAATGCAAAAAAACACCAGTACTTCAGAAAGACAACAATACAAAATGCATGTGCTACAGACAAGCATTTATGCTTGATTTCCTTAAAAACTGTTTAGCATACTTCTCTCCCTTACAAAGAAAGTGCTTAAATTAGCTGGAAAGACAAATTCTATAAGCATGTGGCCAAGAGACTAACCAATGGCCATTTACATGTCACTCCCCTACTAAATGAACTTCCCCCAAATAGTTATTGTACTTCTGTATCACTCAGAAACCTCTTAGCAATTAGCCCACAGCATTCCAACTATTAGTAAAGTCTGGAAAATCAAGAGAGTTCAACATTAACACGCAAAATCAAATGAAAGAAATGAGTAATTTTTCCCACCACGAACTTTCTTACAATCAATAGCTAATTTTTCTTATCTAACACAGCCATTCAAGCAGTACTGCTTCCGTTATTTTAAAATGTGCACTCTGTCCAGAGCGAAGTGAGGAACAGAAAAGGACAGCAGAATAAGGTATGAGACAGATTAAAATCTTTCTGCACAGTGGTAGCAGGGATGCAGATATCAAGACAATCACAGAAAACTTTCGATGGGATACAGGCAAAATAAAAACAAGGAATAAGGGAGAAAATAGTATTAATAAGAAATGAATGCTAAGATATTGAAACCGAACAAACTAAATCAAAATTAATATAAATCGAAATTAATAAATAATACCGGCCTACCGAACTAAACTCTCTCAAGCCTGAAATGAGAAGCATGCAAAATTCCACTTACCTGCTGTTACTTTATTTAGAGCAACTAAGGAGCTGAGGACCTTGCTAAAGTTTTGCCCTTGATAAAGATCATTTGCGTCAAAGGTCTGAAAAAGAAAGGAAAATACGTCAAGTGAAAAGTCACACTACTAAGAACAAGTAAAGTAACTTACATAAAAAGACTGTCATGAGCTTATATTATTATTATATATTATTTCATAAAATGGCCTTCAAAGATGGCTCATAATCTGAAGTTGCTGCAAAATTAAGATGCTCAGCTCTCAATTGGGGAGGGGGGGATGTTACAAATATATCCAGTTGTGTTTCAGCTGTACTCGCTGTCTAGCAGTAAAATAGCTTTGACACTAATTTGAAGCACAGACCAATTTCAGGCCCAAGTACAATAACACTACTTAAAGAAGCTGTTTCATTATTATTTACCTACAAAACGTATACTCCGCCTTCCTGCTCTCATCAGGGCCACAGGGGCAGCTAACAGATTTATTATTTGTTATTTATTTATTTCTTCACATTTATAGCCCTCCCTTCCCAGAAGCGGACTCAGGGAGGGTAACATGTCATTTATACAAAATATATTAGTTAATATAATAACATTAAAATTGTAAACCTCATCATAATTATTAAAATGGCGGTCACAGCTAATAACAAGAAAAAAAATTTCTGGCTGTGGGAGGTTCCTGACCATAGACAGTAGTTGTTAACAGAGTGACAAACACCTCAGGGAGGCCATATATGGATGTCCGCTGCCTCAGCCAAAGGCCTGGCGGAACAGCTCCGTCTTGCAGGCCCTGCGGAACTGAAGTAGATCCCGCAGGGCCCTGATCTCAATGGGGAGCATGTTCCACCAGGCAGGGTCCAGGGCGGAAAAAGCCCTGGTCAAGGAAAGACGGACGTCTTTCGGGCCAGGGACTATCAGAAGGTGTTGATCCATAGAGCACAGTGCTCTTCAGGGCATATATGGGAAGAGGCGGTCCTTCAGATATGTTGGTCCCAGGCCATATAAGGCTTTAACGGTTATTACCAACACCTTGAAGCGGTTCCGGAATTCTACTGGCAACCAATGCAATTGGCGGAGTACCGGCCAAACGTGAGCCCGCACAGGCATCACCGTTTGAGAAGAAGAAGAGAAGAGATTAGATTTATACCCCGCCCTTCACTACCCAAAGGTGTCTCAGAGTGATTTACAAACTCCTTTCCCTTTCCCTCCCCACAACAGACACCCTGTGAGGTAGGTGGGGCTGAGAGAGCTCTGACAGAAACTGCTCTTTTTCAAGAACAACTGTGCCAGAACTATGGCTTGCCCAAGGTCATCCAGCCAGGTGCAAGTGGAGGAGTGGGGAATCAAACCCGGTTCTCCCAGATTAGAGTCCACATACTTAACCACTACACCAAACAGGTGCGCCAATGCCTTTTGCACCAGCTGTAATTTCCGGGTCAGCCTCAAGGGTAAGCCTGCATATAGTGAATTACAGTAGTTAAGCCCGGAAGTGACCATTGCATGGGTCACTTTAGCTAAGTCTTGGTGGGAGAGATAGGGTTTCAGCAACCTAATCTGCTGAAGATGGGAAAAGGCCGATCGGGCAGCTACAGTAACCTGGGCCTCCATGGAAAGAGAGGCATCCAGTGTCACTCCCAAACTCCTCACCTTTTGGGCCACCACCAAAGTTGACCATTCCAGTGTGGGGAGCCTGATACCCATATCCCCTTCCCTTCCGACTTAGGTACAGAACCTCTGTTTTCGATGGATTTAGCTTCAACCAACTCAGCCGCAGCCATCTAGCCTCAGCCAAATTATCAGGGACAGAGGACAGATGGCCTTTAAATAACAGATAGAGCTGGGTGCCATCTGCGTATTGAGCCCATACCTCCGGACCAACTGGGCAAGGGGGCACATATAGATGTAAAATAACATTGGCGAGAGGATCACCCCCTGCGGCACTCCACATTCCAGTGGGTATTGCAGGGAGGTCCTCTCGCCCAGCGCCACCCTCTGTCCCCGACCATGGAGAAAAGAGGTAAACCACTGCAAGGCAGTGGGTCAGCAAAACCACTGAACTCCTAAGCTGGCAAGGCGGTGGGTCAGCAAATCATAATCGACCGTGTCAAACGCTGCTATCAAATCAAGTAAATGTAGCCACGCCAACCCGCAACGATCCAGATGTCTACGGAGGTCATCTGTAAGGGTGACCAGAGCCGTCTCCGTCTTATGGCCAGGATGGAAGCCAGACTGGAAAGGATTGAGGATGGAAGCGTCATCCAGGAAAGCTTGGAGTTGTTCAGGCACCGCTCTCTCAACCACCTTACCCAGGAATGGTAGATTCGACACCAGGCGGTAGCTGGTCAGGACCATAGGGTCCAGTGATGGTTTTTTAAACAGCGGATGGACTACTGCCTCCTTTAGAGCCCCTGGGAAAGTCCCAGTAGACAGGGATAAGTTGATAATTTCTTCCAGAGGAACCCGAATGCTCTCCCCGGAGGCCTTCACTAGCCAGGAAGGGCAAGGGTCAAGGAGGCTGGTAGTGGGCTTCACAGTTGCCAAGATCCTGTCAACTTCCTCCTGGGAGAGTCGGCTAAAGAGGTCCAATATTGGACCTGAAGATGGACAAGGGACTTCCAGTTCCCTTACTGTCTCAAGTGTGGTCGGGAGGTCATGGAGGAGTGTCATGATTTTGTCTGCAAATAGTTCGCAAATGCCTCACAGCCAATAACTAATTCCCTACTATTTGATCTGCCCTGTGACAGAGCTGTAATAGATCGAATAATTCTAAATAATTGGGCTGGGTGCGAGCTCACAGATGCAATGGAGGCCACGTAGTAATCTTTCTTTGCATTCTTCACCGCCATCTCATAGGCTTTCATAAGAGTCCTATAGAATGTTCGTGACACTTCATCACAAGCACGCCGCCACCTTTGCTCCAGCTGTCTTAGCTCCTGCTTCATCCTCTGCAGTTCTGAGGTATACCAAGGTGCTGCTTTGGTACGAGGGCATAGAGGGTGCCAGGGGGCAATCTCATCAATTGCTTCGCAGTGTTACCAGTCCTCCACCTGCTCATCGAGCGAGCTGCCAGGGGGCATCAGATCCTGCAGAGCTTCCTGAAGCCAACCAGGGCCCATTTGACTCTGCAGGCGAGCATAAATGTGCTCACCACCTAAACAGGGAGGGCATGATATGCTCAGCCAGACCTTCAGGGCAAAGTGGTCAGACCATGGGACTATATCTGTAGCCATCTGATGCACATTTATCCCCATCCCAAAAATCAGATCCAGTGTGTGGCCTGCCTGGTGCATGGGAGTCGATATAAACTGGGAGAGTCCCAGTGCCTCCATGGATGAAACTAGTCCCTGGCCTGAGAAGACACAGCATTGTCAGCATGGATATTAAAATCCCCCAGGACCAAAAGCCTGGGGTACTCCAATACCCAAGCCAATACTGCATCTAACAGGTCGGACAGGGTATCTGCCGGTACACCAGCCAGATAGCCAAACTCTCCTCGACATTGCACGCTAGACCAACACATTCAATGCCGGAGATTGTTGGGGCGAGAAGCGACCTGAAGGAATAAGATTCACGGATAAGCAATGCCACACCCCCACACCCATTCATTCGAGACTGGTGAAAGACCAAGAGTTTAGATGGGGTAAATTGGTGGTAACAGTTTCACCCTCCCTCATCCAGGTCTCAGTCACACAAACCAGGTCTACCTGACACTCCATGAGATAATCACAGAGTGTATTGACCTGGCATTGAATAACACCAGGGTCGGAGATGGGTAGTTTTACCTAGCCCCACAACCAACATCTCTCAGGATGAGACGCAGGTGGGAACAAGTCCAAGCATTCCCGTATCTCTGACTTCTTCCGTTCCAATTAGAGGAGCAGCACCTACGCCCACCGCTATATCTCTCCTGCCCCATCATCACTGGTATCCCTGACTCTTGCCTCCCTTCCTCGGTGTTACCAGCCCAGACGTTGCACTCTCCAACAACCAACAGAAAGGCTGTGACCATCAGGCTGTGACCATCCAGTTAAAAAGTCAATCTACTCTACCTTTCTAATCAACCCCTCTGTTTAACTCGTTGGCCCATACATACATACATAATAAACATACATAACAAAAACTCATCTTAAAAACCATTAGAATGAAACAAAAACACGCCTAATTTAGCTTGCTAAGATAGGCCAGTTTTTTACAAATATGGTAAGATAGTAAGTTATCAAAATATTTATTCATCAAGAAATGAATCCAACAAATTGTGATTTTTTTTTATTTAAAAAATTCAGCATCCATGAGGCGAACCACGAACCCACAGATTATTACTGCAAGTAACCAGCAGGACAGTTTTCTATGGAAAAAGAGGTGTGAAAGACACCAATTCCCTTACATCAACAGTTGTTTTTAATAGAAATGTGCATTGTACACAGGATATGTTAAACACTAGTAAATCTTGCATAGTCACCCAAACTAGAACAATCATCTTCTACATACAAACCTTTCCTTTTTTTAATAATTGTATTTATCGTTTTCACAAATCGTTCTCCTTTACATTTACAAAACATTTTCCCATTGTTTAGATCTTATTCAGAATTACATACATTCATTCTTTTATACCTTTGAGTCTCAATTTCCCCTACATACAAACCTTTCCTGTTTTCATCCTAAGCAAAATTCCCAAGGCATACCTGCACAGAAAGATTCCCCCCTCCCGCATACATATGGTATGTAAATAGTGTATAGCAAGGCACACTGAAAATTAAAGCTTTGGAGGCAGAGATACTATTCATAGCAACAAAGACTGGTATCCCAATCACTGCTGGCAAGCACAGTTCACAATTCTCACAAACAAGCAGCAAAATAAGAAATGGGCAATCACCAGTCAGGACAAAGGGTCTTAAGTCTGCTGAAAGGACACATGAAACACTCAAGAGTACCCTCCAAAGTCCCATTATTTTTAATAAGTGTTAAGAAGCTATCTTTTCTTTTGAAGTAAAAAAAGAATAAAGATTTGTATTCCCAACCATAAACTCTCGAAAGTATAGCATGAACATGGTTTCCAGCATGTAGGGACAAATCTCCCATCTTGCATAG